CCACCTGCACCCAGTTCCAGCATGTGATCTCATTCCAGCATTGCAGGCACCTGGACGAGCGGCCAACCTGTCGCAGTGCACCGCAGCAAGAGGACTTCGCCCAGGGCCTGTTGACATCACCCAGTTTCGATCTGGGGACCTCCTGTGTGTGAGACAGATGTGATTCCACTACACGACCATGATGTCGAAGCTAGGCACAGCACGCCCCAGCATCCGCTCTCCGGCGCCCTAGCCTTACACAACATCACGCACACCCACTTACACCCACTTACACACACAGGCACAGGCACAGGCGTCATGTTTCACGCACAGCGTACACCGCCACACCCAGCTGTGCCCGTGCAGCAGGCCTCAGTCCTGCTCGCTCCTAATTAGCCGCTACTTCTGCATGAATGCGGCATCATCAAGGCCGCCGCATGCGTACATACATTTCGTTGACGCGAGAGCATGTTTGTACTTGCCCCCTTACACACGCTTAAGGAGCCCTAGTGCGGCCTGGCAGTATGTAGATGCAACCTGGAGAACCCCAAGCAACCAGACGCTTTCTCCAGCCCAATACAATATTCTGGCTCCTATTAAAGGGAAAGAAACCCGATTGCAGCTGGTTGTATCATCCATCCAGCTCCCTGCATGTCTGTTGGACCATGACCATCTTGCAGTTCCACAGCCGCAAACTCAAATGGTATGCATGGACTCCCAGCCGGTGGCTGAGCCTGCATGCCACGCAAGGTGATGATGGCAGCACAGCTGAGGCTTGGTACGTACCTGTATGCATGGCATGGGGATCGTGGGTGGAGGATACACCTGCCGGTGCAGGATTACACATGGCTCCCTGACTGGGTATGCAAGATCCAAGATACCGTCCTGGCTAGTAGTCTGGATCATAAAGAGTAATGTGCTGTGCAAAGCCCCGCATAACAGCCCCGCACGGCATGCCTTGTGCCTGTGCTTGATGATATTGGATTCCCCCCAACAGCCAACTGGAGTTGCACACCTGCACCCAGTTCCAAG